CGTTTATTTTAGTGATCATTATTGTCAGTTTTATTTCTGGTATATTTAATGTTGCTATTATCATTTTGTTATTATCATTATTAATACTGTTCATATTATTGCTATTATTATTATTGTTATTATTATTATTATTATTATTATTGTCATCATTATTATTATTGTTATTATATTATTATAGTATTATTATTATTGATGTCGTTATTTTTATTGTAATTATTATGATTGATTTGTTATTAACACCGGAAAGCGCAAAATTGTTATACCGGAAAGCGCAAAATTTTGAAGCAATTTGACGAATTTCTTTTGAAGACATTTCCGTTCTGTTTTCGCAATGCGTTGGCTGCATCCAGCAAAAGTTGACAGTAATGTTAATATATGCAACGGTGCTGATAATTGATCGTCATCAGAATCGGATGAATAATGCCTGCATATAATATCAATAATCTCACACAACAAACGACTGATTCGAATTAAAATGAATTGCAGTCAATAAGGATTGTTGATATAAATGCAGATACGGTGTGTGCATTTCGAGAAGAACTGAGGAAGAGAAGTAATCAGCTATCGAATGCGATTCTTTTCTTTAACGACGACACCACCACTCCCTCTCCAAATTGTTGGTGCTTTTACTTCTTGNAAAGTAACTCTCTGTCAGCCCATATATTAGACCATGAATGCTCTGCCATTTTTGTGATGAAATTTTTTGATGTATGAAATTTTTTGAAGAATGCGGGCAAAAACCTGTTCCATTTTATCTTTATGACACTAACAAAAAATGATAAGGAACTTTTGCATAAATTTAATTATCACTGAAGCTTTCCTGTAAGAAATTGATCGCAAGCTCTTGAAAATGCCATTACTCAAAAAACAACAAAAATTTTCCGCGAATATTCACGAAATTATTGTCCAAATTTTGAAGATAGTATGTCGCAAGCAATTCAAAGTGAGAATTACGTAAGAGAATCGCCGTTGGATCGATTCATTCGAGTTGTTCCCTCAACTGCTCACAGTTCAGATGGTACTTTCTTTTACGGGTTACTTAATCAATTGATCAGCATAGTTCTTAGTCAGCTTTATATTGCAGAGGTATTGCATGCTCATTCGGAAGGTGTTGCATCGGTATGCGACCAGAATGATGGTGAGATTTGTGCGGTATGTTTGGAGAAGTTGTATGATGACGGCGAGTCAGTGCTGACGGACTGCGTGGTGGAATTGAAGCGATGCAAGCACGTCTATCACAGGGCTTGTCTCGAAGTACTTTCCTCTTGCTTCTTATCGCTTATCGTACCAACAAAATTCATGCAATTTGCAGCAAGCGTTCAGTCGTTTGCAAGCTCAGTGTCCGTTGTGTAAGCAGTGGTATGGTGCACCACAAGGCAATCAACCACCAGGCTCAACCATGACCATACATAAGTATCCTGGTTCGGTGCCTGGCTTTTCGGATGCTCACGGTTACTTTTGTATCGAGTACAACGTACCAAGTGGTGTGCAGTCGGTTTGTTTTTTTTTNNNNTTTTTCTGGAGTTCGACGATACGCCTATCTGCCGATCAATGCAGAAGGCGAGAAGGTGAGCAACGCATAGATCCTCATTCAACTTTCTACTTTCCCTATAATATTGGCCACGTTTCAATGAAATCTAAATTGCTCGCATATGTATGTGCCAGCAGAGACCGATGTATGATGATCGAAAGTGATCATGAAATTAATTGACTTATGAAGATGATCTCATAAAAGTGTTCTCGCAGATTCTTCAACTATTCAAATTAGCATTCTCCAATCGCCTTATGTTTACGGTTGGTGATTCGGTGAGTACGGGTCAATGCGATGTGGTCATCTTTAATGGTATTCACAACAAAACGAATTTATTTGGTGGGCCACAGAAGTACGTTACTTGAATGTGTAAATGCACAATTCTCTTTACTAATTGATTGCTTTACTGGTTTGTCTTATTGCATTTTGACGCTGACATTTCGTTAAGGACGTTTCGAATGAACAATATTTCCCAGGATCTCCTTTTCAAATATCTCACTCCAAAAATAAATTCAGAATTGATATTGAAATAAGCTCCCACCAGAAGTAGTGTTCCAAAATAGATTTTGAATGTTTCCTTTGAAATTATGTCACACATAAGAGCGTACTGGTAATAGGATGGAAGTACGCGTTTCCTTTATTTACAAAATTTGTTTGGTTCAACTTTTTCAGTTTCGGATATCCGGATGCGAATTATTTTGCACGGGTGCGAGAAGAATTGGCTGCAGTTGGAATAACTGAGAAACTTCTGGAAGATGAATACTGTTGAAAAAAAACCGAAAAATCCTAATGTGATTGTCAGCCTTTTGTATTTACTATTGCCTTTTGTATAATATCAAAACTATTGCATGTCCATTATTTGTAATTATCAGTTTTGACGCTTTCACTCTTCATTGATATTATTTTTATTGAGTGTATATTGAAAACTCATCATTCATGCACACTGTTTAAACGTCGCATCACGCTAAAGTAACTTTAACACCTTCGATTCAATCTTTGCAAATTGTTCGCAAACTGTTTTTAATGAACTCACTGTCATTATCATTGAAAGTAAAACGGTTATACGTCTGTTTTTCGTCCTGTCGAGTTTCATTAAGCACTGGAAGTTCGACAGCGCATTGCATGATTATGTGCTTCATCAATCAGCTATCTCAAACGAGTTCGATCCACTTGACTTGGCTGAATCAAGTCCCTCAGGAATCATTTATTAGCTGCGTGCTCGTGAGGCCAGCAGGCTGTAGCTTCTTCGCTTGTATTATTACTATGGTATTTCTAAGAGTGTACGATGGGCTTAACTAAAATCGCGTTCAATTCTGTTGTAGGCTTGTGATTTCGTCTCTGGACAATAGTGTCATTACAGATCCAAGGTCGTTAGCTGAAAAGATCGGCGACCGTATCTCCTTATTCCCCACAACACACCTGTTGAATGATTCATTATTGTTGCATTGCTCGTTAGAGATGATAGCAAGTGAGCTGATGGCTTTGCGGTCGTCAACTCGGAGCCTTCTCGATTTACAACACTTACCTCCATCTGAGAGGATGTGGAGGTGAGGTATTTCATTGTAACCGTCCAAACACCAAACTGAGTTCTGAACCCGTTCAGCAAATACCTTGCTCCCTCACGAGGATGTAGTTGTAGGGTTGTTTGTAACGGTCACTTCCTGGAATTTTCAAATTCCCGCGAAAATTATTAATGTTAGATCACTTCACCAAATTTGTGACCAAGTGCAATCTTCTTGATTAAGACGCTTCCATTCATGTCTTAATCCCTTTTTCGTTTGTCAAAAATTTGCAGTGAGGGGATGAGTTCGAGATGTCGAGGGAGAATATCGGGATTTAATTCATACGAGTGAATGGTGTACATCCCGACCCTTTTAGTGAGTACTCCCTGAAGTCTCTTCATTACTTGGTGAAGATTTCGGATTTATCAGTATCTTTCATATATTGTTATTGTGTGCTGCGTCATCCTCAGATTGATGAGTTAATCGATCCTTCTCATGAAGATGCATTTTCGCTACGACATAGTGTATGTNATATGAAGAGATAATGATAACGATTAAGGTGATATCAGACAGCGTCGTGTTCTGTTGAGCGACGACTGTATAGGCGTTCCATTAGAATGGATCGGTTGACATGGTATCAACCTGGTGAATATATGGAAGATATTATCATACAGAGTGGTCATGTGGGTATTTACGACGGTGATCTGAAGCATGTATGTTCTTTTGTATTTTATTAGTTTATGCATCATTGACTAACAAAATACAAAATGAGACAAAGGTGTTGAAGAGATCAGTGTGGATCGAAGTTCAAATATATTCTTTATTCTTCAGACTGAATATGAACAAGGAACTGCTTCACTGACTTTACACCGAATTATTTGGGCTGATTCTAACGATCCGGTTTGCTTTATGTTGGCTTCATTTTGAATTTCTTTTACGCAGTTATATTGTTTGTCATATAAAGTGAGTGTGTTCAAATTTATGACAAATTCCAAAGTGTCCGACTGAAACCTCATTCAAGATATGGTCATCAAAAGAAAATCAGTCATCCAGGGAATCGTATAGTCATGTTTAATTTCCCTCGGTTTTCGTACCGATTCAAGATATGCTTATGCACGAAAAAAAANAAAAAAAACGCTATAAGATAAAAATGCGTTTATAAACGTGCTTTTACGTTTCTGGATAAATTCTACATGAGGGTGTCGTTATTGCATTCATCAGTGATACCTTATCTAGCAAAAATATTTTTAAGTTGCTATTTTAAGGATTGTCGATTCATATTGCATCACTCAATGGTAGCAAATATCGAGAAATTTCACAAATCGATGTTTCGACGAGGCGGTAAAATCATCGTTCATGTTCATCCAAAAGCACACAATCAAAAGAATAATCCGATTGCTTTCTCACCCTTCAATTACTTCAGATTCGTTTTTCGTAATGGTGGAGAGGACGAGGTCTGTTCATTCACACAGTTTTCTTTTTCATTGCCAGAATGTTTTTCATCATTTCTGTTTTTGCTGTCGTGGTTAATCAAACTAAATAATAAATGCCATTTTGGACGATCAATTTCAGTAGCAGTACTTAATACAGATCGCATATTGCAAACTAAACTTACTTCTTGTATTTTGTTCATGAAAACAGTTGTAATTTTATAACTCATCTCCATTATTCATTCGTCTATTTAATTGAATTGCAGTTTTTTGAGAAGTATCGAGACGCATTAGCTCGTCAAACATGGCAAAGAACGTCGTCGAGTTCAACATCGAGTTCTGCCGGGGTTAATAGCTTCGTTTTTTTTTCTTTATCGATTCGAATCTGAAACTGCGTTTGGTGTTCATCTTCAGTAAATAGCGCATAAAATAAATGAACGCATTTTATATTGATGGGTTAGCATCATCAACACGTGGCGATTCCCATTGAAATTTTGTCGATTGTCGCTTTCGAAGAGTGGGCCTCAAAAAATAATCAATCATCAGTATGGTGACAAAAATGTCATTTACGAAGATTTTGTTTTTATGTTTTGTGATATTTTTAATTATTACAACAATGACGAATACGGCAGTATTATTTCGGAAAGAGTATTATTGATGATCCTTGCGATAAGTGTGTTCATTTCAAGTCTCGCAACAGTACTGTACATGTACCACGTGCAGTTGGAATCGCTGGAATTGAGAAGAGACTCGCTGAAAATCATCAACGAGCTCACGACAGCATCAGTCAGGTTGTTTTTTTTTGTTATTGTATTTTCATTGTCATGAAAACATTCGTTGATCAGCGATTAATATTTCAGACATCATTTTCTCACGAAACATTCTTCCAAATCTGGAACACTTATCGATGAATGTCTGTCTCACCGAATGATGTTTAGTTTCGTAAATTGGAAATGTTGGCACATCGTTGGGTCACTACGAATGAAATTAATTTTATCATTCATTTTCAGGCGTTTGAAGATATGACCCACTTGATGGAATGTGCACGAGAAATGGTCACGCTGTCGAAAAGTATCACCGAGAAACTTCGTTCACGAAAAGGGGAAATCACTGAAGATGAAGTGAGTTATTGCTAGTGTTCGTCGACTCGATCTGAATGGAATGAATTAAACGTTACTCAGTGATTAACATTTCATTAGGGCAGTTTTGCTCTTGAGCACATTGGGCAATTGCCTTCAGATTATCGTTGTGGATTCGTCATCTCGATGGATCATCGTGCGGACAAATCGTTGCTTTCAGTTGAAATACATAAAACAGTTGTTGAGTGAATCGATTATTCGTAGTAATTTATTATTGATTAAGACCGTTCGATTCAAGTCGTATCTGCTGAGTTTGGGTGTCAGCGATCCAGTAACGAAGTCAAGTTTCGGTAGCGGTGCAAAATATTATGAAAAACTTGCCGAGGAATTATCCACAATTTTGTGTGCTCCATTGAAGGTATTTGCTTCGATTCACTTTCGTTATCATACATTTTTTCTCGAATTTATTTCTGACCTGTTGTTCGATTATTGCTTGTAAGCTACGGGGCTCTGCCATGTGAAATACCTGACTGCCATTGTGCATTAATTTTTAAAGATTACTGGAATATGTTGACTGATCATGATACAATGCAGATCATTTGAGGCTTTGTTGCATTCAGTGCGTCGTTTGCGAGGAAAATTTCAGAATTATGTTATATTTGTTTTCCACTTAACTGAGTGATTACTTTGAAGGAATTAGGCGGCATGATGTCACTACCAGACGTTTACTGTCGTGTCAATAGGGCGCGTGGAATGGAGCTGTTATCACCGGAAGATCTGCTGAATGCATGTCAGGCTCTCGCGCATCTCGACCTGCCTATTTCGTTAGTTTTTGTGTTCATTACCAGATTTGATTGACTTGGTGATATGTATAAATTGGTTGCAGATGTCATCGTTTCGATAGTGGCGTGATGGTGATACAGCTGAAGGATATGGCCATTGACACGACGATTGACAGCACTTCTGAATTGGTTAGCGCGATGGGATCGTGTACTGCGAATGATCTAGCGAAATGTCTTGGTATCACGGTCATTCTTGCCAAACAACGGTTGGTTCACATCTTTTGTTCTAATGTTTGTCGTGTTTTATTTGTTTTGTGAAATCGTTGGAAATCGGTACCTTCAAGTAATCGTTTTTAAAAATTGCTCAGATGCGGAATTTAACTTACAAAAAACTTCAAGGAAACAGAAATTTGTTGAACAACAAAAAATCTTGCGGAGTTTTTCGTGATTGCAATGAAATGTAGCAATGAACAGCAACGTATCAATAGGTACTCCTCACAATCAGTGATAATTGAATGGTAATTTCAGATTGCTGGCAGCTGAAGAGCAAGCAAAAGTCTGTCGAGATGATACGATCGAAGGGTTGAAGTTCTATCCGAATCGATTTTTAACGGCCAACTGATCAGTTGTATAGTTCTGTATTGACCATTCAGCAAACATATATCGATATAATTTATTATTGCATCAACATAATAGGAGTATATCCGAGATGATAGCTAGTCTTTTTCATGATTTGGTCGCATTTAAGTTTTCGTTAAGCTTGTGATCTTCCTGCATGCAGCACTTCTGAATGAATAGTTTCGAATTATTTTCTTGGCATCTTCGTCCCCTTCATTTGTGTTGACATTAATTGGAATAGCCAAACTGCTATCTGAACCAACGGTGCAAAATTGAATGTGTCTCATTGATAAGTTATTCTGAAATCAACTGTTTTGTAACTTAATTTCCTGATTCCTCAATTCATCAATCTGTGGTGCTTGCAGCAAGAAAAAGAATAGTTGGGACGATGAGTAAATTCATTATTTCACTTGGTTTGCATAATGGTTTATTTGATATAATCACTTCGTATGGTATTTGTTCATCGATAATTTATAAAATGAAAATGTCTATTTAGCTGTGAATAATATGTGCACTATGAAAAACGTTCATGGTGTAGTGCATGTGATGGTAGTGTGTTTGACATCTTGTGAATAAAGTAATCCGACTCTTTGTTTTTTCGTGCCTGTTCATCGTTCCAGCGAATGCGCATATCTATAGTTGACAATGTCTACAGTTGTTTGAGAACGTTATATCGTACCGTAAACTGTTGCAATATTTTACTGCTTTAAGAGTAACAATAGTGAATCCAGTTGAAGCGTTCGTAATCCAGTTATATGTCGTCGATCACCGACAGTATCGTCGATGAAGAGCGTCAACTGTATGGCGGCGAGCCGGTGCCGGCAGATGTGAATGAGAATGAAAGCAATAGTAACGATAATGCAACCACATCAGCTGAGAACATTGACGAGTCGAATGAAGTGAGTGCTGATGCGAACGAACATTCAACAACAACAACTAACAATGATAATCAGGTCTTTTTTTTGGTCTAACGTTGATACAAGCAGTCACCGTGGACTGATCGATGAATTGTTCACGATGCATTTAATAAATGATATTCCATGAGAGAAATGCACAATATTCTTTCATTGTGCTGTTGTTTGTTTGGATGCATTGACAGCTTGTGTTATGTATGGAAAGAATTATATTTGAGAGTGTTTTGCAGGTGGCAGATCTAGAGCAGAATCTTTTGGATGCGGACGATGATGAGAGCGATGATGAAGGGTTTGTGGTGACCATTGGTCAGGTCAAACAAAATACGCCTTTTGTGGCAGCACCTAAAGCGACGACAGCTGGCGGAGGGTTCGGTAAATTGGATATAGATGCAACACCAACCATCAATGGACAACCCATTTACGATCTCGATTTGGCTGCCATGGAGGATCGTCCTTGGCGTAAACCTGGCGCTGATATAACCGATTATTTCAATTATGGATTCTCTGAGGAGACCTGGAATATGTACTGTGAACGGCAACGAAAGCTACGATCTGAATATGGCACTCAGGCTGCGGTCAATAAAGCAATCTTTTCGACGATCAGTTTAGTGGGCAATCCAACGGTACCTACAGCTGTGCTAACGGGTGGTCGTCAACTGCAAACCATTCCGATTGTGGGTCAGGATAAGAATCCGGTGGATCTTTCGATGGCGTTCAAAAGCAGTGCACCGCCACCCGAGCCGCAGCAACCGGTCATTCGAACGGTGCTCACTGTTGGACAACCTCCTCGAACCATCACCACCTCTGCAACTGCGCCGGCATCGGCCTCCTCGATTCCGACCAGTCTACCAAACACCGACCACACTCCAGCGCCATCTTCAGAAGGCGTTCTCTCATCGTCACCGTCCGTCTCGAATACATCAACCATACCCACGATAACACCCGATTTCAGCAAACCACCACCTTTGGCTGTCAGTGTCCCGGCCGAACCTCCTCCGTCTAGTAATATTGTTAAAACGTTAGTCATTGTTTATCTTTTCTTTTTGTTTCACCTGATGCTATTACACATAACTTTTCTGCAAAACAGTAAATATATATTTCCGTTCCGTTGAATTCGTTTTCATGCACAATTTGTCATGAAAACAACAAAGAATGGATGTGCATTTGTCGAATTCAAAATGTTTACCCTTCATATGAAATGTTTGTATATATAGGCCATTTCGTATGAAATGATGATGGTAAATCTAGTAACCAGTTAAATTTTATTGCATATGCTCAACTATGTTTCAGAGTTTCAACCATTCCCACAATCGGTTCATTACCAGTCTCAATTGCACCGCAAACAACTTCAAGTGATGGACCACCAGGCGTGGATGAACCAGCTCCGCCCGGTTCGTCCACTCCACCAAATAATCCACCTTCGAATAGTTTCCCAGAGATCGCACCTCGTCAAATTCCAACTCTTGGTGCCACCGTTGACACGTCGATACCACCTCCTACGTTAGTTCCTTGTTATTTCCATCTACAACGATATCCTAGTATTTATGGATTACGAACGATACGTTGTGGTTGTTGAATTTGATGGAAGTGAGCTTTGTTTCGAGATTAATTTCAGTTTCAATCCAATGCTGCCCCCGCCTGGCATAGGCGGTCCGCCGCCACCTGGAGCGGTGAGACTTGGATTGCCGAATACGAACGTTCCTCCGCCAGGATTCAATATTCCACCTCCGGCGTTCGGCCAACCTCCACCAGGCTATCCACCTGCGAGATTTGGTTAGCCATCAAATGTGTTTGCTCGTTTGTGATCATCTCGTTTCGTTTAATTGTCATTTCTCATCATTTTATTGTTCGATCCACATAGCGTTAGTGCAAACAACTCAGCAGTAGTCTCTTGATATCGGGCAGATAAATCACTTATATTCAGCAGCAATGCCTCCGCTCGGTCGTCCTCCCCCCTTGATGGGTCGACCGGCGTTCCCACCACCCGGTATGGAACAAGCAGTGCCGCGACGAGATGCGGACGACAGGGAACGTGATCGCGATCGAGGTCGAGATAGGGAACGTGATCGGGATCGCGACCGAGACCGCGGTGGTGATTCTGGTGGCAGGTATGATCTGATGTATTCACAAACGCAGATGCTTATCTCACAACTACCTGTTTACCTTGTTTCATATCAATCAAATCTTAAATGATCGTAATCATCAAATAATTCCGTTTTACGTTCATTGGTACTGATCAAAAACGTCAACGATTCTTTGTGTCGTTCACTGTAGCAAGCAGAACGCAAGCATAATTTTCGTGACAATTCTTTTGTTGAGTTATGAAAATCGGTGATATCCGTCATGAATTAACGATAATTTTGATGTTGAATGCTTTTAAGCGACACTGAGGAGTACAGCGGTAGCAGCAGAAGGCGACGTGGACGTAGACGATCGCGTTCGTACAGTCCGCGGTATGTATTGTTACTATTATTATTCATCAAATTAGAAGTGCACAAAATTGATTTTCTCATCTTCGGAGCTCATTATGCAAGCGAACAAAGTTCAAAATACTGTGGTGGTTATCGTTCGGCATTCTAATATCAATGTGACACAAAAACGATACAAATCAAGAAGTCGTGTTAAGATCTCACGTCACGTTCAGTACTGTTGATTATTATCCATTCATGATTCGGTGTATGGAACTGAATTGTTGAGATGAAGGTGTATTCGAAGAGAGTGGTACAGGAAGAGCGTTTGTAGTTGTTGTTGGGCCGAATGTGGTAAAGTTCATGTACTCAATTTTTGAAGATGTTTGCAATTTAAGTTCATCATCATCTCGTCGGTATCGTGAGGAGCGCGAACGAGATTCGGATCGGTATCGTGAGAAAGGTGATCGCGATCGTGAGCGTGAATCGCGCTCATCTCGAAGACATCGGTCAAGAAGTGGATCTCCTTATGAAAGTACGCAGGCGAATGTTAATCACATCAATTTGCTGTTGATCTTTAAAGAACGATGCGTAGTCATTAATCTGTCGTCGTAATGAGAGTTCAGTAATGATTTGGTTGATTGCTTTCTTAATTCATGTTTCATATTGTGCTTAATGACTTAAAGGTTCGCGAAGTTCGCGACGAAAGGACGATAGAGGTTCAGGTGATAAGGAGAGAGAGAAGAAGAAGAGGGATAAGGATGATGGGGCAGAGGATAAAGACAAGGAGAAGAAGGATCGCGATAGGGAGCAGGATGGCTCTGAGCGTAGTGATCGTGAGCGAGACAAGGAGAAGGAAAAGAAGAAAAGGTTGCGTCTTCTTCTTCAGCATAATCCATTTTTAAATTCTATTGTTAAATTAAATTCAGTTTTTGTTGTATCACATCGTTTTTGTGATATTCTCATGGAATCAAATTTGTGATAGAAATTGTTGGTTGATTGCAGACGTCATAAAAGTGATGAAGACAAAGTGGATAAGCGAGAAAAGGATCGAGACAAGAAGAAGAGTAAACTCGACGAATCATCGCAACAGTCCTAATGACGAGTTGCATTCATTGGTATTTGGAATTGATGTTGCATTCATATCGATCTTATTGTTGTTTTCGTTATCAATTTCATGGCAATCGTGAGAGAAGCGTCGTGCTTTTGAATGAATTTCATTGTTTCATGTTCGCCTATTTGAAACGCAATGAATGGAAACAAACTCTCAAAAGGACGTGATTATTGTCGGCAGTATTCTGCAATATAGCCATTCGTTGTTGAGATAGTAAGATGTGAATGAACCCGTTACATATACATAAACTTCCGTTGGCAAATATTCGCGCGAAAATGTTCACTTTGAGATATTCGTATGATTTTATGGATGAATGTGTATCTATAAAATAAAAGTATTATTAAGTTATTGTTGATATATGGTTGTTGTCATCATTGTGCGCACCGTTATTGTTTGTTGAAGTTGCAGGGCTATTATTAATTCATTTCATGTTGATATGAATAAACTTCTGATATATATCGCGTTGGTGAAGAACATTCATGCAGTCTTCTTTTTATTGCAGTTGTTGATAGCGATCGCACTCTTTCAGCATATTTTCTTTTATTGTTTCTGATTGATGTTAAACACTTGGTACGGAAGAGACAGCACAACCATTTAGGATAAGGTGTTCAACTGAAAGACGAAGTGAATGACATCGCATAAATGATTATTCATTCCGTTCAGGACTAGCACAACGCATCAAGCAGAACTGCTCAAGTGATGTCAGCAGTGAATGGCGAAGATATCAGTGAGAAGGAGCAGCCAACTGCAAGTCGCTCGGCAACAGAATGCTCTCAGTTGCTTGATAATCACGAAGAGTCAACGTTCTGCTCAAACGGATCACTTTTATCCAGCGATCATAGCGCCACATTAGCGTCCACTCCAACCATAACAATAAAAACAAATTCCCAAGTTCATCCCACGTCGAGTTCAACTCAAGTGATTCTGGTGACAGTGCCCGATGTTGTCATTAAAGATCCTTGTCATCCGTCCAATGATGGAATGTTCCCAATTGATGAAGCNGAAAAAGAACCTATCCCATTCTTTCTTCATGAAGCAAACATGAAAAACTTCTCTTATATTCATTCAGTGCTTTGAATCTGTTTTGTATTCATTTCGCTTCAGTAGTGCCAGATAATTGCCAACTGAAGTAAATTCAATCGCTGCATTACGCACAATAAGCAACATGTAAATCCAGCATAAATCAAAGTTGCTTTAAAATCTGCTGTTTTTTCAACGGAACGATGGGAATTATTTTGCGAAGAATCTAGAAATAAATCCAAACGAATTTCATCTAGCCAGATCCAATTATCTGCTCTCCTAATTTCAGTAGAAGTGCTAACAGCACGAGTGACAGTTTGCACTAATCGAGTGAGTATAATATATTTGGGTATGCCAGGCGATCTGATGCTCCCATGTTAATTTATAATTGAGGTGGTGTTTAAGGTATCCGAATTGTGGTATGGGTTGTAGTATAAATGGTAGATATCCACTTCGAACTAGTGAATCTGCAGCTCATTCCGGTCCATCGATCGCACATCCCGAGGATATAACTTCGCCAGTTGTTGACAGTATCCAGCAATCGTTTATCAGCCAGCATTCAAGTGATGACGATTATGAGGTTCTCCTATCAAGACTGTTGCCTCTTGTCTTGTCTGCTCTCGAGCATCTTTGAAGTTACTCCGTTGGAATGTATCAGTTTCAGAATGAGAACGAAAATGGTGGTATCGTTTTGTTGAGCAATCTACCGGATTTAGTTTTGTTGAAAATCATCGAATACATTCATCCGATTGAACGAGTGCACCATTTGTCGGTGCTGTCGAGACGATGGAATAAACTAGTCAAATCCAATAAACTCTGGTCTGAAGTTCGTATTTTCATTGCTGATCCACCATATTATAAATACTCTGTTGCTGAATTTCTTCGTCAGGTATAGTTTATTGCTGTCTTTTCAATGTTTCATGAGTATCAAAACCAATTGCGTGTTGACACGTGATCACAACAGCTCAGCAGATAAGTGGAGGAATCGAATTGAAACAAATTACGTATAACGAGTCTTCGGAAAATATGATTTCGCATTTGTGTTTTTCGATAACTGATCAATTTGAGGTGTTTGTAATTTTGACCTGTTACGCGACCGTGGCTCTTTTGTTCCCTGAGTGTTTTAGAGTTTGCGATTGGATAAGACTGAGTTGGAACCAATAGATTTTTTTCATCGGTCAGCGACAAGCGTTGATCTGTAGCCATCGACTGAATTCTAGGATGAATGACCAACAATTGCAAACAAATTGTTTATTTCAGAAAGGATCGTGCATTCAAAAACTGTGTATAAATATTGCGTGTTCGAAAATATTCACCGAACGACAGTTCATCGATTTATTTCCGAGTTGTATGCCAACTGTAAAATGTCTTGACATCGGCTTCTTCCCAAGTACCTTTCATTCTTTTCAATGTTGTTTTATTATCACGAGCACGATACCGTGGTCGTCTAGTATTTAACAAAGTGCAAACCCACCGTTGAAAGCGGTCTAGAATTGATCTCGGAAGACAGCATCTTGACTGCTTGCCTGTAATACGTCTACCTTTCAAGTATGATCTTAGATTTTCATTGTCTCATCATATCATAACTCAGTTATCAGCACCAAAAATCATTGACTGTTATGTATTGCAAAGTAACATAAACTGGAAAAATATTTTGGTGATTTTTCATTTAATTGATATCAATTTTACAGATTTTACAATTGATATATTGCGTTTCTTCATGCGATGCTTTCCGAATGTGGAATATTTGAATTTGGAAGGGATGAGAAAGGTAAATGAAGAGAATCATTTTTGTGCACGATTGATTCATTGCTTACTTAGAAGAACTCGTGTAAGTGCAGTTTGAGGGCAATAGTTTGAGATTTCGGTTAAATTTATATGAAAAATGCTGAAATAGGATTGCGGACGGGCGGTGAATGAGATCATCACCACTGTTCATATATACTTTCAGGTTGATCCGAATCTCTACGACGTTCTTTTCACTGATGCGTTCAAAAATTTACGACATTTGATATTGTCGCATTGTGAGGCAATCTCAATCAAACAGTTCGAACTATTTTGTCGTACAAAACGTCCTCTTGAAGTGCTGAGCATCGATGGCATTGTCTCGCTTCGTAATTGGTTTGCTCACTGATCTTCCCTTTCATTTCATTTACGTAAAGTGATCGCTACTTCTATTACACAATTATGACGCTTTGTGTTCTACTTGATTGATCAGTGCAAAGTTTCATTTTTCTGATTGATTAGTGAAAATTTTGATTTCAGTGCAGCCACATTTATTGCTTCGTCACCGTTTGTCGCTTCATTAACGCGTCTTTATTTGGATGGTGAAGATTTGGGAGATTTCGGTTTTCGAGCATTAACAAGTTGTTGTAATCTCGAACTTCTTTCGGTATCATTCTGCGAGAGTGCTACCGACTTATCACTCGGATACATTAAGGTTGTTGCTTATCCCTAAGAGGACGGATCTCTCGTTCGTCGCATACATTTTCATTCGATCATTTTATAAATCCTTTTTTATTTGATATCTGAAGGCTTCTCGTATGTTCTTCACTAGATTTTCTTTCGTTCATTCATATCAATATTTATGTGGACTGTGTGTAGTGTTTATTTAGGCCGTGTAAATTTCTTCTTGTTTTCTTTCAATGAATTCTGCATTCATAAACGAATCATATATTTGACGTTGGAAGTGAAACGAATCATCTCGATTCGTTAAAGAGCAATGCTAGTGACTCTGTGCAGTTGCGAACTATAAAAGACTTTGGGGATTGGAAAATTATGTTCATTCGTCGAATTACTCATTGCTCGATGGCAGTTATTCATTTGTAATAGTGACAGAAATAATAATTGTTTCAGACGTTGTCAAAGATCGAACATTTACATTTGCGGAAAGGAAAGGAGTTCACTTTTGAGGGGTTTCGAAACTTTTTCGCATTGAATCCTTCGACAAAGACGCACTGGAAGGACAACAACTGCGAATTTCCATCGCGATTGAAATTTTTGAATTTAGGTGAATGTACAGCAGTTAACGACGTCATTGTGGATTTGATCACGAAAAAGTACGACACTTCTTATTACTTGTCATTTCTGTTATGTTCACCTTGCACGTTGAATTTCTGTTATATTCACTATTTGCAGTTGCCCGCAAATTCGATCACTGTGTCTGGTGTGGTGTTGGTCGATCACCGAGATTGGTCTGCAGAAAATTGTGCAACGTTTAGAGTAAATTTCGTTGCGTTATTGTAAGGGTTGTAGATGGAGAGGGAACAGAATGCTTTGCTTTGGAATGTTTGAGTTGATATTGCATTCGTCAGTCAAATGAAGTAGAATTTATCGTTGTTGTAAGTTGAGTCCTGATTGAATCCAATAACTTCATCACCGTTTAGTGATCTACAGCTGTTAGATATCGCTGGTCTTGATTGCGTTGATGGTTCAGCGTTCATCGATGTACCTGATCTCTATCTGAGCAATCTTCGGTATCTGGGTGCTGAGCAATGCCCTCGAGTGAGTTATAACTGTTGAAAATTTTAGAAGAAAACAACTCTAATATTTATTGTCAATCGAGATTATTCTCATTAAAAAGTGTCACCAATTTTCTCCGTGCGGTTATTTATTTTATTTACATTTGTGAGAGTGTTTCAGATCGAGGATTCAATGTTGCAAATATTGAATTTGAGAAAGAAGGATCTGATAATAACGAATTATCATGATTATTTTATAACGTTTACGATACGGAACGGTGATGCGACATTCAACGAGCGCATTGATCATCAATACATGTCGGCTGTAACTGAAGAACTCTGCCAAATTGAGGGGTTTTGTTGCATGTCCAAACTGAGTTAGATTGAATGTGTGATTTGCTTTTATTGTATGTTTAAGTTGAACATTTATTATTGTTTCTGTGATTGAATTCTTATTCAACAACAGTTTTATGTTTATAAGCTAACGGGTTCTGTAAATGTGATTCAATAAATACTGACTGCTTTTGATGTTCACTCATCACTAAAACACGTCTCTGAATATCCCACATCTCCGTCCACTCGTTCGTAACGCTCAAAAAATGTGATATGTTCATCCGTTTCAGCAGAATAAATTCTCATCAAGCACGGCACGTATCGTCAACGTTGTCGTTTAATCTGTCGCACTGTCACAATGAGAACTGTGAATTGAACTGAACAAGCGATTTATCGCAGGCGAAACATTTGGTTGGCCGTTGTGGTTTCTGTTCGACGATCGTTCAGAGCTTTGTCTACTCGCGCACTGTTGCTGTTATCGAAAGATGGTCACAATGCCGCATTATGTGTGATTGCAGTGCCAACACTATGCATATTGCTCATATGAATTGATTGAAGTGTGTGATGCATTTCAAAATAGAATTTATTTCATCACATAAATATTACAATCGATACGAAAATATGATCATAAGAGGGGAATTATTTTTGAGAATGACAGAACGAATATCCATTGAACGTTGCATTTTTTGTGATCACAAAAGAATTCACCGTTGATTATAGCGCATAAAACATACGACTCGGAAGTTCTCGATGGTAATTTTCAACGAATGAAGTTTTCACTGAAATAAAGTTCATTAGTACATGTCTCGACTTGATCGGCAGCCTGTACTCGTTAAATTCGATTCAGTAAGTGAACTCGTCGAATTGGTTGTGCTTTCGAGTCCTCTTTAACGGTGCAAATTTTGTTTGGTACACTCTGGTCCTCATCATCTTCATCTGATTTTCAAGTTTCAAATAGCAGTATGCTAAAGGTTACAAATAATTCGAGAGCAAGCATTATGCGACCAATTCCATAGCACAGTTTCACGATCATCGCGATAAAGCACCGAAACTTACCGCGATTGCAATAACTCCGCACGCAACACGAGGACCTGCATTGCCCGTGGTCATACTACCTTTATCACCGCCTTTGCCAAGATCATCCGCTCCCTCGTGAATTACTATGGCACGACCAATGATTGAGTGAGGTCCACTCAGAGTAAGATCATCATATGTTTCATCGAGCGTTACCTCTCCATTTTCCTTGAAACATGATGAGTGAATGTGTGATCATTTTCCTGATGTGCAGTGTGATATAATTTCAAAAAAATCACTACTGAAATGTCGATTTGAATCGGATCTAAACACTCGTTAGTGAGAAATATAAACATTTGTTCATATGAGCAATTCTCATTTCTGTCTGTTCATTTCTAAACTTCGTGATATCTTCGAATGATTGAAGATAAAATGGAATTTGAATTACGTTGGCGATGATGTTTCCTAGATCACCGACATGCCTTCGAAGGTCGTTTGGACCACCATGAAGTTGTCTTAGTGGATTGTAGTGTCCACCAGCGTCTAGGCATCCGTTCCCAATATCACCACGTTCGTGTACATGGAAACCGTGTTTACCGGGTGTTAGTCCTTTCAAAGTTCCGGTTATCTGAAGCATTGTTGAGGATTACGTCAATGTGCTTTCCAACTTGCAGCTATTGCAAAATTGGGTGATTGATGCACTCCAATAGATTCGAAGTAAAACATGAAACTATGATCCTGAGAGCGTTGCGCATTGTCAGGCCTCACTGACCCTTACTCCGCCGAGCTGGCCGATTTGTTGGAAGTTAAGCACGCCGCACAGATCCAATTGAGTGGGGTTTTTTTCAGCGAAATACACATAGGCTTTCGCACTTTTCGCTGCAATTGGAATATTTCGTTAGATAATAAACATTCGCTGTCACATTTACGGACAAGTAATTATTTTTTGTAGTGATATACCTGATGAATGAAAAATGCACGCACTCAGAGAGATAAGACTCAGCAGCGCGACTGAGAACACGGACAGAGCAGCCATCGTTTCTGAAAAAATACTTAAAATGAATTGCTTGAACTGCTTTTATCCGTATTATTCGCTGGGTTCTTACACAGTTAAAAAGACTGAGTAAACTTGATTTCAAGATTTTGATTTCTGATCGTTTTTGTTCCGGGGTCCCAAGTGTTTATCTGTTGACATCCAGCATAATGGCTGCAAGCGAAAGATGATCTCGTTAAGGCGATTTGCAAGCAACTCAACGATTGCTCGATGCATCATTGAAAATAAAATTGTTGCAGAGTCCACCATTGAATTAGTCGTTTATTTAAAACCAATTAGTCGGAGAACCACGATACAGTGAAGAATGACACGGAATGACTTCTAATACAAAACGCTCTGTTTAAATGCAGTTGCTGCTTGTATACCAATCAAACATAGAGATCAGTTACCATGATTATCACAATTCATATCACTTAATGATACTTGATCATTAGGTCACATATCACAACAACAAGAATAAAGATCGCAAATTGTATATCCTGAATGAGATATGAAGAGTTGTTCGGAGTAGTAACGCTGGGTCGACGAGTGAAGTCGTGAATCGAAGAATTCACGCGATCAGTTTTTAAAGCTTTTTGCATGTTTGTATTCCAGGAAAAGCTGTACAGAACCTGTACGTTGTTTTCAATAAAGTGTAAATTTTTGAATAATATTCACAGTATGGACTGAATGTTTTTAAATTTGCATTTTTCCTTTCATCTCGAACACGTGATTTTGGTATAATTGAACGACTGAACTTTCACTCTCGATTATTGATACGAGTCAACGTTCGAAAAGGCTCACATCCATCGTTTTTCGATCCATCACCAGGTGAATACGTCGGCAATCTCATTCGTTCGTTACTCTGTTGATCAATGCTGAACCAATATGTGCTTCTTCTCTTCCATTGGCTGTGCATTCATGAAATATTAATACCTTTTGAATTCAAAACGAACAGAACAAATTAAAGTCAGTCTTTAAAGAGCACTATCGTGAGAACTGGAACAAGAATGCACTCAAGTCCGAATAACCCAAATTTTCGAAACATATGATGAAAATTCGTTGACTGATCTCTTTCATCAAAACCAACTCCGACCCGTTGAGAAGAAATAATTCAACTGGAACGCGCATCCACCGATGATATTGCTCAAAGCCAATGATCATTTTTATTATGCACCAAAATCTATTCTGCAAGAGTCCATTTCAATAACAATTCATGTTTAATGATAAATGATGAATTCTCACAATGGAACCAATGAAACTGATGATCGAACATTTCTAAAAACGTTCTTCAATAATCAGTCGAATTCATTTATTTCGTATCTCCTCTGCAATCCTTCAGAAATAATGACACTGTTATTCACTTTATCTGAACTGTGTCAACTCGATTTGTCACATATCAGACTTCCTATAAATTTGAAATCATTCAAAAATTTGAAATTCAACACAGTGATCAGTTAATTGTCGGTCGAAAAGATCGATCTGGCTCACATAATCGCTGAGATTGCATCTTCTCCAATTCAATCAAATCAATAGAATCAGTTGATCTCCCCTAATTGGGTCGTTGTCTCATTATCGCTTCCAAAACAAGTATCTTCTTCACGTAATGCTCACAAACAGAAGTGCATTCATCAAGTGAATTGACCGAAACGTTGCATCACGATTTATCGTCGTCATTCACGCACAGTTGTCCAGTCTTGTTCATCCGTCCCAGACATTTCCTTTTCTAATATGTTTCCAGCCTTTCACCTCATAATCATATGTTCATTCGCATCCAGAGGTAATCTACGCTTTTTGCTTCGGTTTTGTCATTTACTTCGGTGGTAATCTCGATTGAATTTGAGCTTTTTGAAAGATCCAGCGAGGAGTCTCAGTGTTTCAGTCTTTGCAAGACGACGACTTTTGGAACAATAATTTCAAGTTGTTCTCCTTGTTATAGATCTGAACCGAAAATTTCATGACTTCTGCACTTGCTTTTGTTTCTGCCCTAAACAATATCGTTTTAATCAATCTGAATGTTTAATTGGATAAATTAATCCTCATTCAAAGTGCATTGCTTTTCAGTGTTAATCGCTGCTTTTCGATAACGTAATGCATTTAATTTTCAGCATTGAGATTCTATGAAACATTCGCATTTCATTTCGATGCTTTTGAATTTTACAGTGAACGCACAACTAGCTGCTGTGTATTCTGATGTGCGTCGGACAGACGAGTGTGAAAACTGGAGTAGTTGGGGACCGTGCACTTGGCCTAGCAAAGAGAACAAGTTTAGTGGTTTGACGTTAAAGAACCATTAATGACTGCTAACATCAAAACAACTTAATTAATTGAATCATATCCAACGTTTTTCTCAGTTGATCTACTTTTCGCAGACAATTTGTCAGAAGAATATTTCGAAGGGTTGAAGAGTGGCACATTCGATTACGTTGTGTCAACTGCAATGCGGGAATGCCTGCACAACTATCAAGCAGTGTTTTTGAGCATGGACATCGCATACTATCATTGAACAGACATCACTATGATACTTTCTCCAGTGTCTACAAGTTTCAGATGTCATATCTGAATCAAATCAGTCCAATATGTCAACGGCATTGGTTTTACAAATATGTGAAGAGTCATTACGAGCATTCGTTGAATTCATTCTTCGACTACATGCGCAGCGTACTGATTAGGGACCGACCATGTGGAATGTGTTCATACAGACAATCGTGTGGATTTGGTGGACGTTCCAAATGCCACGTCAGTCCATTCGAGTTAGTTTTCATGAGGATCAATGCATCACCTCTGATTGTCACTTCATTACTATGCATTGCCATAATAATCCTGATTATGACTAATGACCTAAAGCCCTCTGATTATGCCATAATATTCACCTGGTTGTTAGACAAACCATAGTTCATCACATCCAATAATCACTTTAAATCTCTCCTGCTTACATCAAGTGTTTTTACTTTTCACACTATCATTCGTATTGGAAAACAAATGATCATCGCTCACTCGTTGACAAAGCATATTTTTACAAGATTTCGCAATGTGCTTCTAAAAATTGCTTTCTTGAAGAATAAATTCGAGGGCTTCTACATTGCCAACAAATACTGATCAGTAGATAGAACGGGATGTGATTTTATCACAAGTGATGTTGATTAAAGTGCTTTTGAAGAGTTCAAGGTGGACGCGCAATAATACCGTTCTACGTTGCTGAACGAGTTTGTAAAGAGAGCGATCTGAATGGTATTGATCCAATGGAGAGTTGTGTGGCTAACTACGATTTATTAGCAGTAAGTTTGTGAATTGCTTCAGTGAAGACGCATTCTGTTCCTTAGCCGTTCAATAATTTCGATGAATCGACTGGGCGAAACATTTTCTTGAGGGAGGCTCTTGATTTGTGAGGAGAGTGAACTCGGTCTTCTTATAATTACTGTATCACATTCATGTTAAAAACTGGATAAAGATGATCACCAACTGAATCAATAGCTGTCTATAATAATTCTGCAGTTTACTCGTCAATCGAATTTTATATGTAGCATTCTGAATTTGACCACAGAGCAGTCTATGGTCATAAGCGTTGTTGTGCATGCACTAAAGCAATGCAAACCGGAATGAGGCAAGTGAAGAGAAACGAAGTGCTCTGACCAAAATATCGCACTCTTGATTTTCAACGTCACTTTGTTCACTTGTTCAGGAGAACGGTGGTGAGTGTCAGTTATGGCCAACTGATAAAGTTGATTTGAGCGATGTGGAATCAGCTTTCCGCGAGAATATTCGACAACTTAAATGGTACAATTGTCTGCCTCAAATCAGGTCGATTTTTTTGTTATTTGAAAGACTTTTGATCGTTGCAACGTTGAGCACTCAAATATTGTGTGTATAATATTCGACTGAAAATACAATCGCCTTGATTTTTCAAAGACGCATTCTAAGAAGGGCAGCCGCGGATTGAGGTGTCTGGGTGCGACTGTTTTATCTTCGATTACTGACAACGATTACTTTTGCTCATAGAAAAATCAAATCGTCAAGCGAATTTCAAAATGGCATCATTGAAGTCGACAATACTCAATTCATCGTGTACGTTACAGAAGGATCAACAAATTGGGCAAGAAAAAGCGTCAGCTAGTGTGTCGATGTTGTTGTTATCCGTTTCAACCGAATCCAGTCACATTTCGATGCGAACAAACACCCAACACACCATCTGCACCTGGCTTCTGATGCTTTACGACTCACTCATTCACAAATCACCTTACACTCAATAACAATTGTCTGACCAAAATGCGCAAAAAGAAACGTCGAATATGATATGATGACTAAACGAATAATACCAATATGATCTAATAATGTAAATGTAAATGATAACAATATGTTTGCATAATAAACTTCGATCAGTGTAACATCGCACAATAGGAATGACATTTCTTATTCGTAGAGAATTTATTCTACGATTCACATCTAAGGAACAACGATATTCGACTGTTCCAACTTCATTCCATCAGCTTTTGAATCGAATTCCAGCAAATCTTGACGAAACGTCGATTAATATTCCACTTTATGAACCCAACAGGGTTTTTTGTTACGGGCATTTTACATCAAGAATTTGCAATAAAATTTTCGAAATTCAGCTATAAATCAAAGTATTCACATCTGCTCAAATAATAAACACTAACTAACTGCTGCCTGGTCTTCTTTTATACGTTGCTTTGTGGTACTTCAACAATGTTTGGATGAATTTCAACAATTTTTTCGATGAACAATCAACTGAATGTAATAACGTTCAAATGAGTTCAAAGTGCATCATTCTTCATGCGAAATCCATCAAAAAGACATTCAATATTACTACAAAAACTTGAAGCAAATGACATCTGAAGGCAACGACTCCGATGTGTTTAGAATCGTTGAAACACTTCGAAATGACTTCTTTCTAATGATTATTTTCAAATGATAACTGCTTGTGATGGAACACTTTGTTTCAAGTGATTTATTTATACGTGCGTCAGAATAGATAATATTACATCTCACAACACAATCGTAAATATAACATAAACAGAATAAGTGATAACTTTTGAGTTAAATACATACACAAAAGCTGATGAATCCCGTAATTTAAATTTTTGAAAGAAAATTAAAAGACTTCAGAAGAAACTGATATAATTCAGTGGATGAAAGAATGAAAATGCTATTTTAAGTGAACGTTTACAAACCAGAAAGATTATCTGCAGTTGAGAAAACAGAAGACGAATAATATAGAGTGGTTTTGCAGTACTGAGTACAAATCGAATAGAAGTTTTAAGATTCAAAACGAAGAGCAAGAGCATCATCAATGCAGGAAGCATTCGTAGGGCGGCTCGCTAAGAGGTCTGATGAACATCAGTGAATTTGTCCTCCATGGACGATCAATTTTACGGTTAGACCATTTATCTAACACAAAAACAATAATCACCACATTAATTCAATAAATAAGTTAGCCACGTCGACAGTCCAATTTCGTCTTCGCCTAATTTTTATATCAAATATTCACCACCCGAAAAAGCTTCCACATCAACAACAAATCAACTGAGGTACGATCACTGAATAACTAAATTCTAACTGTAAGTATATATTCAGATATGAGCAATGGAAAGTTAGGGTTTATGTACACAACACACAAACGTTGTTGATGATGAAATCAAGCAAAAACATGAGCAGATGTGATCAGACGATGCATCTAATATAGAAATTAGACGCATAATCAGTAAGTAATAAGAATGTTTATACTGAAAGTGACTTTTACAGATTTCTTCGAGGCTACGAACATTTTTGCGAAGGAGGAGATGAGGAACGTACATATTCAATTTGCATATACAACATGTTCAATTTCAATTTGCAGTTTTGACACCAACAATTATAACGCTTTATTACGCTCTTCAGAAGATAATTATAACGGTCTTCTGGATTTCAAAGAGGATTCACCTTAGTCATGTTAATCCATCCAGCAAAATCATCTTATATGTATTGGCTCAATCCACTGACTGGGAGCTAGTTCGATTTCACCGTTGACATTGCTCAGTTGTTCAGTTGGCAACACTCGAATAAACAATAATCACGTTGACGGGTGATACGATTGCACTCTACTCGTCACAACACATCTGCCATCACCCGTGTTGCGATGTGCACCAGCTGATGCTGCTGCTTGTGAGTAATCCAACTGACGATCACGCTTCGATGCTCTCCAGAATTGTCGATAGTCAACATTGCGCTCGTGCTGATGACTAATGCTATCCTCGTCAATACTTTTTGTTTGCTTTACTTTGAGTAATTTGGTGGGATTTGCATTATTGGATGCTGATGACTGTGAAGAATATTGACGCTGAATTGGTATAATTCGAGTGGGTGGCTGAGAATGATGGGATGTTGGTTGTGGCTGAGGCTCGAGGTGTGGTGAGGATATGAAACGATTCGGGGAGGATTCGAGTAAGGTTTGAAGGTAAAGTGGTGACGATGGCGAAACATTCACAAACGTCACAACACCACTCAAATCTGCAGACGCACGACCGTATTTGAGGGCATTTCTCGATAAGCGTGCTGGTGCTTCGAGTTCATTTTGGTACAGGGACTGAGCTTTGAAATGTTTTTGTTTTTGAGATGATATATCATGATATGGGTCATTGCTGGATGAATGAATTGTGTAAGGGTGAGGTGTTGCCGATGATTGATAATTTGTTTGAGAATGTTGCTGAGTTGATGGCTTGACCGAATTATGAGACGGATGTGGGCGATAGTGACGATCGTCCACTTGCATTCTCTCGTGCAGTTCTTTCAGGGAACGATCGATCTCGAACGTGTTCAGGTGAAACGATTCATCATTTTTTTGGCTATTGACTTTATTTGTGCAGCTGCGGGTATTTGATTTTGATGGTTGGGTTTTATCAGCCGATGCTGACGACTGTGCACTATTCCGAGATACTCTCAATGAACCACCTACACCAGCAGGGGCAACAGTGCCTTTACTCGAACGTCTCAAACGAGCACTAGATGAATTGAACGCCGCATTAGAAGAGGATGCTCCTATGAAAAGCGTTCTAGAAGTTGGAAATACGACCGCCGGCATAGATCGACCCACAATTGTTGTTGATGGTTGTATTTGTTGGTGATGAGTTGGTGAATCTTTCAACTGACAACGGGATTTGGCTTGGGCACGACCCGAATCTGAAATCAATTTTTTGTTTAGGATGAACTGGTGACCTATCAATTGAGTGATCGAAAATGCTATTCAAATAAAGTAACGAACGCTCAAACTCGATTCATCACATCAATCTGGGCTTTTCAAGCAAAGGCTAGCTGCCGTGTAATATACTGGATGTAGTTAATGTTCAGATTCAAATGCTCAATGAAAAAGCGATGTGACAATGAGCGGTGGTTACTAAACACGTGAATATTACTTAAGAAATAAAAGCAACTTTTCACGAAAAGTAGGTCTACTTGAATTGATGCTTGAATTTCAAACAGTTATCTATTATTCACCGAATGTCTGCAAGCAAAACCAATCAAGTTGAAACCTTTCAACGGCGATTCATTGAAAGAGAGTTGAAGCATAAAAAGTCAGGTGCACCTTTCGTGGTAGATTCTTTGTGAGGCTGACGATGTGTTTTGTGGTGGTGTTTTGTTTTGTTGGTAGTGCTCTGAGGGTTGCTGGTATCTGAAGCCGGGATACGGACTGATGAACCGTCTGCCGGTTGCACTCGATGCGAACCACGAATTGAACGCATCGTAGTAGTTGCATTCATGTGGCTGTGCTGCTCTTCTTGGGTAGTAGAAATGTTGTCGGTACTGGGACGGTGGGCAGACGAGATGGCTTGCATTTCTTGGTTGACGGTAGTGGTGGTAGTGCTTGCCACCTTCGACTTGACGTGATGGCTCGCTGAAATTTCATCGACGATTTCATAGAACTTCTCATCGACTAATTCAGTGCACTTTTCACTCCCAACTGCAAATCGCTGCAGCTCATAAATGTTTCCATAAATAAATGCCATTTCACTTTCCAACTCACAAAAAATGTGACCATCAAACACATTATGCACTCCCTCGATACACCCGTCCATCATTCCGAGTATATTCCAAAAAAATTTGCCATTAGGCACCAAACGAATTTTTGGTCGGCATAATGGTGAGTGAATAAAAATCACGAAATCAAACTGAAACGATATATTTTTCTGTGCAAATAACCGAAGACAAATTTGTAATGTGAGAGCGCAATCCAAATATGAGCAGTACTTTTCGTTGTGATATGCAAATGCGGGTCGCTTCGACTGTTTGTTTTTTGTTGGTATCTGATGGATTTCGTATCCTGGAAAGGCTGGTGACCTGACGTATTGCTGCTGAAAGTAATTCATTCTGTCGTGATTTTCATTTAATAATTTGCTTCAGTCTTCATTCCCCCAAAAAAATTGCCTGCTCATTGTGTTTCAAATAGTTGACGTTTGCGAAGGATTTTCAAATTTCCATAAGAAAATGTCCATTTTGTGGGAACGAACACCACGATGTGATGATCGTTGCACATCGCTTTGACTTTCAAAAAGTTATCCTTCCAAATCCTTTAGATCAACTGTTCACAAAAATCTAATAATAGGACAGAAATTTGTTCGATTATACTACCCATCTTCAGAATTGAGGAAACTCATCGGATCTGATCACAAACGATCATCATCGTCATATGAATAAAAGATAATCAATTCAGCAAATAACAAAACTACGTTTACAGCAGCACGAAGGAGTGAACGAAGCATATCATTGTGAGTTGTCTGACAATTAGACATATGTCATCAAATTTGACCCTTCATCTGATAATTTCTTTTGAAAAAGTGATAAAATTAGAGTTTCTTCAAGTTTAGCCTTTATAAATTCCAACTTAGCAGCAAAGCGATCATAAAACTCTACTTAACATCTAATACATATATCTAGTCTCAAAAACGTCGATTCGTACAAATTCTTGCCAATGTAACACATTGCTGAATTGAGTTGATCGATCATTTCTGACTTGCTGCAGTTTTCTAAGAAGATTCAAATGTCACGAGTAATTAACTGCTCAACTTAAGTGATTATCATCCTAATTTCTCATTCATTTCACAAACCTCCTACATGGCTGCTTTGATCACCGAAACAAACGGCTTCACTCGCTCAATTCAAAACTCGCATCCTACACCAAACGTCACTTAAAACACTGCCTATCTACAGCCCAA